CTGGCCGGGTGGACCATGTTCATGCCAGGGATCCACACGTCCTTGAGCTTCCCCCCCGCCTGCGCAGGACGCCGCGCCGCGACCAGCCCGACCCTCCCGCTCCTCCTCCTCCCGCTCGTCATGCTGCTCATGATCATCGCTTCTGGCAATCCTGCTACTTCCGTTTCTGCTGCTGATGCTGATGGTCCTTCTCCTCCTCCTTCTCCTCCTCCTCCTCCTCCTCCTCCTCCTCCTCCTCCTCCTCCTGCTGCCCTCCGCATGTCAACCTGTTCGGCGCACCCCTCACACTCTTTGTGGCCGCACAAGGAGCTCCGCCGAAGGCCCCAGCCGCAAAACTCGCATGCGGTGCGCCGCTCATTTCGGCGCACCCCTCGTACGCTTCGCGGCCCCATAGGGAGCTCCACCGAAGGCCCCAGCGGCACAGTCCACATGCTGTTCCCCGCTCATTTCGGCGCACCTCTCGCACGTTTAGCGGCCCCATGGAGAGCTCCACCCAAGGTCCCAGTGGCAAAGTTCGCGTGCGGCTACCCGCCGATTCGAGCACACCCCGCACACACCTCGTGGCCCCATAGGAGGCCCCGCGGGAAGCATTACACACAAGGCAGTACTCACAACGGTCCCCTCGACAGGAGGGTGCGCAGGGCAGATTGTAAGGATGTCTCGGGCGAGATCCCGAATCCAGCATTCCCGAGGGAGCCGCTGGGGTGTTCTCACGAGTCCGTCTGCGCCCACACTGTGGGGACACCTCACATGGCTTGCCTGTGTGGATGCCCAACGTCCCCTGCGTTCCAAGCAGATTGTGAGGATTGAAGGGGCCCGAGGAAACACACACACACACAAATACCACAATTCTCCAAACTATCTCAAATGTTCTGGGTTTTTGTCTTCCCCCCCACTTCCCATATTTTCCCATATTTCCCTTGGAATCGACGATGGGTGGTGTCTGTGTAATGTTTCCCCTCTTGAAGGATGTCGCAAGCGAAGCGCTGGCTTCAGCATCTCCGAGGGGCACACCGCCAGGGAGCAGGCCGCTCGCCCGTGCGCGCCCGGATTGTGGGGACGTCTCCGGCCTGGTTTGCCCGTCTGGGTATCCAGCACCTTCTGCTGTAGACGAGCGCGCTCCGCTACTCGCAGAGGAGCTGCTCGCAGACGACGTGGACTACACCCGGGGGGGGATTCACGATAGGTTACGCAAAGGCAGGCGTATGGTTTTTCGTACGCTTGCGAGTGGGCACCTTGCGAGTAGTGGAACGCGCTCGGTGATGCTGCCAGAACAGAGTGCGAGGGTGTCTCGAGCGAGGTGCTGGCTCCGGCACTTCCACTGGCCATCGCTCGGACGTCCATGCCCTGTGCTTTTTTCGGTTTCGTGCGTGGCTTTTTCGCCAAATGACTAAGGATGCTCCTCGATTGTCCTTGCCGAAGGAAAGAATGCACACGTCCGAGCGATGCCAAGTTCCGAGAGGGAGCTCCCACGGGTGTTTTCGCAGGCCCGTGCGCGCCCAGATCGTGAGGACGCCCCGGGCGGCTTGAGCGCGCGGGGGCCCACCATCCTTTTTGCTTCCAGAGCAGGTCGCGTGGACGTCTGCGGCGAGGCGCTGGCCTCAGCACCCCAGGGGGGAGCCGCCAGGGGGGTATGCCACTCGCCCGTCCGCGTCCAGATTGTGGGGATGTCTCAGGCGGCGTGCCTGTCTGGGTGGCCCAGACCTCTCTCGCTGGAGAGCCCCACTGCCACCGCGATGTTCAGCAAGCGCATCGCGCGGGCTCCCCAAGGAGGAGCCGCCAGGACGGTGGACGCTTGCCAGGGAGGAAGAGGGAGGAGGAAGGACGGGGGAGGAAAGAGGAGGAGAAGGAGGAAGAGGAGGAGGAGGAGGAAGGATGCGGACGCAGGTGGAGGGGGGAAGGGAGGCCGCCGGGGAGGAGGATGGGGATGAGCCTAGGACGGATGGGGACGCAGGAGTAGATGGAAGGAGCTGTCTCACTGTCGCCATCTCTTCATATCAGGTCACTCATATCTAGACTCACTCACACTCAGACTTCATAATCACACTCAGACTCTCCCATACTGAAGCCCAGTGATAAGGCCTGTCGCGCTCAAATACACTTGAACCAAACTTAGGCATCCTCAGACTCATGCGCGTAGACTGCCCCACTGAGACTCCACCGCGCTCAGACACCAGACTCAACCGACGGCTCTCGGACCCAGATACTCGCAACGGAAAAGGTCTAGGAAAAGAGATGCATCTTTGGGAATCTCCGCATCGAGTACATATGATTTCTCCTCCTCCTCCTCCTCGTCCTCCTCCTCCTCGTCCTCCTCCTTCTCTTCCTCCTCCTCTACCTCCTCCTCATCCTCCTTCTTCTCCTCCTCCTCCTCCTCCTACTCCTCCTCCACCTCCTCCTCCTCCTCCTACTGTTCCTCCTCCTCCTCCTCATCCTTCTCCTCCTCCTCCTCCACCTCCTCCTCCTCTTCCTCCCATCATTCCCCCAACCTCCCCACTCC